AATGAGGGTATGAAGTAGGTGGCTTCGTCTAGGACCTGTCAGGGGCAACGAACACAGGTAATGTGAGGTCGAGAGGTTGAGAGGCATCTTACCTGTGTGATGCTGCGACTTTAGTAGCGAACACACGCTAGGTAACCTCGGGGTTGTTGAGATTAGAAAGACTGGAAATATAGGGAAGGCACAGAACAGGAGCAGAGTTTGGTAGAGAAGAGAGTCCGTTTAGCACTAGAGATCGAATTACAAAGAGTGTAAATTTCCGAGCCAAGGAACCGAGAGACATGAACACATTTGTGACCTTCACTTCCTTAAAATTTTAAATTGCCACTGTTCATAATCTGTTCTCTCGTCTTGGCTAACCTTCCCATTTCATAAACTTTACCTTCTCACGTGCTAAACGGACTTTATTCTCTCCCGAACTCTTTACTCCTCTGAAATCGACTGTTCACTGCCTTCCCTATATTTCCAGTCTTTCTAATCTCAACAACACTCTCTCCATTTCTTAAACATTAACTCACTTCTCGCCAAACTAACACCCTCAGGGTGAGAGGCATCTTACCTGTGTGATGCTGCGACTTGAGTGGCGAGCACACACTGTCTCGCCACAGGCTGTGTTGGCGAAGAACACGGCCACAGCCTCCTGCACAGCGTCGGCCTTGCGTCGACACTTCAGGTGGTTCTTCTCGGAGTCAGCGTTGCAGATTCCCACGGACAGTTGCAGTAGGCTGACGGAGGGGTCGTAATGTCAGTCTTATTCAATACACACACTACCGTAACGAAAGCTGTATTTATTTAGGGTCCCCTGTGCCTCAATGACAGCGAAAGGTATAGTGCAGAGTGCGGCATAAGTTTGCAATGCAGTACACGAATAACCCGCACGTTTTGGTCCAACTCGGACACAGTGTGACTAATCCTCTCTCCTATGTGTGGGTTAATTGTGGATTCCAGTCAACGTATTATGACGCTTTGCTCTTTGCAATGCATTTAAACGTGTAAAGACGATGTGAAACACATATGCAACACTTGGGTGTAAGACACATGTACAACACCTAGGTTTAGTGTGTAATCCATCAACCTGCACCTCATTAATCAACTTGTTAACAGTGTAGACCAGAAATGTTAAGGTATAGACCAGAAATGTTAGGGTATAGACCAGAAATGTTATGGTATAGACCAGAAATGTTAAGGTATAGACCAGAAATGTTAAGGTATAGACCAGAAATGTTAGGGTATAGACCAGAAATGTTAAGGTATAGACCAGAAATGTTAGGGTATAGAATAGAAATGTTAAGGTATAGACCAGAAATGTTAGGGTATAGACCAGAAATGTTAAGGTATAGACCAGAAATTTTAGGGTATAGACCAGAAATGTTAAGGTATAGACCAGAAATGTTAGGGTATAGACCAGAAATGTTAAGGTATAGACCAGAAATGTTAGGATATAGACCAGAAATGTTAAGGTATAGACCAGAAATGTTAAGGTATAGACCAGAAATGTTAGGGTATTGACCAGAAATGTTAAGGTATAGACCAGAAATGTTAAGGTATAGACCAGAAATGTTAAGGTATAGACCAGAAATGTTAGGGTATAGACCAGAAATGTTAAGGTATAGACCAGAAATGTTAGGGTATAGAATAGAAATGTTAAGGTATAAAACCAGAAATGTTAGGGTATAGACCAGAAATGTTAAGGTATAGACCAGAAATTTTAGGGTAATAGACCAGAAATGTTAGGGTATAGACCAGAAATGTTAAGGTAAAACCAGAAATGTTAGGGTATAGACCAGAAATGTTAAGGTATAGACCAGAAATGTTAGGGTATAGACCAGAAATGTTAAGGTATAGACCAGAAATTTTAGGGTATAGACCAGAAATGTTAGGGTATAGACCAGAAATGTTAGGGTATAGACCAGAAATGTTAGGATATAGACCAGAAATGTTAGGATATAGACCAGAAATGTTAGGGTATAGACCAGAAATGTTAGGATTTAGACTAGAAATGTTAGGATATAGAACAGAAATGTTAGGATATAGACCAGAAATGTTAGGATATAGACCAGAAATGTTAGGATATAGACCAGAAATGTTAGGATGTAGACCAGAAATGTTAGGACATAGACCAGAAATGTTAGGGTATAGACCAGAAATGTTAGGGTATAGTCCAGAAATGTTAGGATATAGACCAGAAATGTTAGGATATAGACCAGAAATGTTAGGATATAGACCAGAAATGTTAAGGTATAGACCAGAAATGTTAAGGATATAGACCAGAAATGTTAGGGTATAGACCAGAAATGTTAGGATATAGAAGAGAAATGTTAGGATATAGACCAGAAATGTTAGGATATAGACCAGAAATGTTAGGATATAGACCAGAAATGTTAGGATATAGACCAGAAATGTTAGGATATAGACCAGAAAGTTTGGATATAGACCAGAAATGTTAGGATATAGACCAGAAATGTTAGGATATAGACCAGAAATGTTAGGATATAGACCAGAAATGTTAGGATATAGACCAGAAATGTTAGGATATAGACCAGAAATGTTAGGATGTAGACCAGAAATGTTAGGACATAGACCAGAAATGTTAGGATATAGACCAGAAATGTTAAGGTATAGACCAGAAATGTTAGGGTATAGACCAGAAATGTTAGGGTATAGACACAGAAATGTTAGGGTACAGACCAGAAATGTTAGGATATAGGCCAGAAATGTTAGGATATAGACCAGAAATGTTAGGGTATAGACCAGAAATGGTAGGATATATACCATAAATGTTAGGATATAGATCAGAAATGTTAGGATATAGACCAGAAATGTTAGGATATAGACCAGAAATGTTAGAATATAGACCAGAAATGTTAGGATATAGACCAGAAATGTTAGGATATAGGCCAGAAATGTTAGGATATAGACCAGAAATGTTAGGATATAGACCAGAAATGTTAGGATATAGACCAGAAATGTTAGGATATAGACCAGAAATGTTAGGATATAGACCAGAAATGTTAAGGTATAGACCAGAAATGTTAGGATATCGACCAGAAATGTTAGGGTATAGACCAGAAATGTTAGGATATAGACCAGAAATGTTAGGATATAGACCAGAAATGTTAGGATATAGACCAGAAATGTTAGGATATAGACCAGAAATGTTTAAGGTATAGACCAAAATGTTAGGATATCGACCAGAAATGTTAGGGTATAGACCAGAAATGTTAGGATATAGACCAGAAATGTTAGGATATAGACCATAAATGTTAGGATATAGACCAGAAATGTTAGGATATAGACCAGAAATGTTTAGGATATAGACCAGAAATGTTAGGATAAAAGACCAGAAAGTTAGGATATAGACCAGAAATACTAGGATATAGACCAAAATGTTAGGAATAGACCAGAAATGTTAGGATATAGACCAGAAATGTTAGGATATAGACCAGAAATGTTAGGATATAGACCAGAAATGTTAGGATATAGACCAGAAATGCTAGGATATAGACCAGAAATGTTAGGATATAGACCAGAAATGTTAGGATATAGACCAGAAATGTTAGGATATAGACCAGAAATGTTAGGATATAGACCAGAAATGTTAGGATATAGACTAGAAATGTTAGAATATAGACCAGAAATGTTAGGATATAGACCAGAAATGTTAGGATATAGACCAGAAATGTTAGGATATAGACCAGAAAATGTTAGGATATAGACCAGAAATGTTAGGATATAGACCAGAAATGTTAGGATATAGACCAGAAATGTTAGGATATAGACCAGAAATGTTAGGATATAGACCAGGGATTCTCAACTTTTGCTTCATCAATAACCTCCTTTACTTACATACAAAAATTATCGCCATTATGAAGGAACAGAAAAACAAGGTCAGAAAACTTTAATTGAATTATCCTTCAATTATCAGGTACATCAAGTATTTACCCCTTGCCAAGCAATTGTTTACTCCTCAGGGGTAAATTCCCCCCTGGTTGAGAATCACTGGTATAGACGGTATGCACTTACTTGCACTCGTATTTGTCAAGTTTGGTAGTGAGGAGATCACTGATGTGGGTGACGTTGACTGTCTCCTCTACGCACTTGATGAATTTCTTGAAGTTCCAGCAGTTAGAACTTTTAAGAAGGTCTGTGAGACGGAGATGAAATGAAGATGTATATATATGTATATATGCAAAACAACCACTGTGAAAGAGTAGTTCCTTGACAACGTGAGTAGTCACCAAAGCGCTTGGAATTTCACTAGTCTTTCACAATGGTTGTTTTGCATATTTTAAAATCAGCTGTTTACTGTGATCTTATTGCATATATATATATATATATATTATATATATATATATATAATAATATATATATATATTATATATATATATATATATATATATATAATAACAAAAATAGGAGGTATAATTGAAGACAGGTTGCTATAGTGATAATAGAGAGAAAACGTACTATATAGGAGAGTCAGGTCGCTGTCATCCTGACACAAGGCTCGCTGGACGGCTCTCAGTCCTGACAGCCACACGTCGAAGACTTCCCGGCCCTGCAGAGGCGAGCAATCAGAGTCGACGATATCTGATGTGCAGTTGAGAGCGTCATCTAGGCCCCTGAGAAAGTCAGAATTAGTGACGGGCTCTTCATCCAGTAAATTGGAGCTATCCTTCCCTCCTTTAGGATCAAATTTGATTACCTTCCTTAAAATAACAATAACAGTAATAATAATAATAATAATAATAATAATAATAATAATAATTATAATAATAATAATAATTATAATAATAATAATAAATAATAATAATAATAATAATAATAATAATAATAATAAATAATAATGATATTATTATTATTATTATTATTATTATTATTATTATTATTATTATTATTATTATTATTATTATTGTTATTATTATTAATTTATGGACATGTTTGAGGGTAGCAACATTCTATTTATATATTTATGTAAGCGTACCTGTCCTTCATTTGTAAAAAAAGGTGCAAATGACTACTAAATGAGCATTAAATGGCTATAAATGGCCTTCTCTACTTTTCTGTCCAAGTTGTGACTTGACAATGGCTCCAGAAAAACCCAATCTTCCTCATGAGAGTCGTATTCTATGTGCGAAGCTTACATGGATAATAAATAACTACGCCAGCCAGCCAGCCAGCCAGCCAGCCAGCCAGCCAGCCAGCCAGCCAGCCAGCCAGCCAGCCAGCCAGCCAGCCAGCCAGCCAGCCAGCCAGCCAGCCAGCCAGCCAGCCAGCCAGCCAGCCAGCCAGCCAGCCAGCCAGCCAGCCAGCCAGCCAGCCAGATACTCACGTGCAGAAGTCCTGAGCAGTTCTATATTTACAGATGCGGCCGACAGGGGACACCACATGACACAGAAGATTCTCATTAACGTCGTCGAAGCAGTTGTCTGCCAGGGCAGGTTCACACTTGCCCTCGTTGACAACGATATCGTCGTCGTCTTCGTCGTCAAGAGGCGGTGAAGGGTCGTCACACCTCCCCGGCAGGTGAACTAGGGAGAAAGAACTCTTAACACCTGTGTGACGCGGGTGTTTTTAGACACATGTGTGACGCAGGTGACTGTTGACACCTGTGTGACGCAGGTGACTGTTGACACTTGTGTGGCTAGAGGGAAGTGCCAGGAATGCTAACATATGACACAGAAATATCAACATATGACACAGAAATATCAACATATGACACAGAAATGCTAACATATGTTATTTATAGCTCAGTCAGATGTGGATAAGATTTAGTTCTGGTCAGCAGTAAAATAAAGTCAAGACAACAGCGTTTAAGTGTTCTCAGTAAAGCTGATAGAATTCTTGGCTTTATATCGATATAAACAAAAGGAGTCCTCAGGATATACTAATTAAAGATTAGCCTGCTGTGTGGATGTTTTATGCCACTTTCAATAACAGTCTGGTTAATCAGGCCCTGATCCACCACGAGGCCTGGTCTCAGACCGGCCCTCGGAGGCGTTGAGCCACGAAACCTTCTCCAGGTATACTCCAGGTAAGTCTATGTATCGTTGGTTAGGCATCATTTAGATGATGGTCAGAAATTCGCTGGAAAATATACAGAGGAGCATAACAAAGTTGGTCCCTTGTATCAGAGATTTTTCTTACGGGCATAGATTGAGGGACCTGAATTCACCCTTCTGGAAAGATATAGAATTAGGGGAGACCTTAACTGAGGTGCTAAAAAGGGTATATAATACCTACCCACCTTCACGCCACTACAGTGACCTGACTACCTCACGCCACTACAGTGACCTGACTACCTCACACCACTACAGTGACCTGACTACCTCACGCCACTACAGTGACCTGACTACCTCACACCACTACAGTGACCTGACTACATCACACCACTACAGTGACCTGCCCACCTTCACACCACTACAATGACCTGACTACCTCATGCCACTACAGTGACCTGACTACCTCACACCACTACAGTGACCTGACTACCTCACACCACTACAGTGACCTGACTACCTCACACCACTACAGTGACCTGACTACCTCACGCCACTACAGTGACCTGACTACCTCACACCACTACAGTGACCTGACTACCTCACACCACTACAGTGACCTGACTACCTCACACCACTACAGTGACCTGACTACCTCACACCACTACAGTGACCTGACTACCTCACGCCACTACAGTGACCTGACTACCTCACACCACTACAGTGACCTGACTACATCACACCACTACAGTGACCTGCCCACCTTCACACCACTACAATGACCTGACTACCTCATGCCACTACAGTGACCTGACTACCTCACACCACTACAGTGACCTGACTACCTCACACCACTACAGTGACCTGACTACCTCACACCACTACAGTGACCTGACTACCTCACGCCACTACAGTGACCTGACTACCTCACACCACTACAGTGACCTGACTACCTCACGCCACTACAGTGACCTGACTACCTCACACCACTACAGTGACCTGACTACCTCACGCCACTACAGTGACCTGACTACCTCACACCACTACAGTGACCTGACTACCTCACGCCACTACAGTGACCTGACTACCTCACGCCACTACAGTGACCTGACTACCTCACGCCACTACAGTGACCTGACTACCTCACACCACTACAATGACCTGACTACCTCACGCCACTACAGTGACCTGACTACCTCACGCCACTACAGTGACCTGACTACCTCACACCACTACAGTGACATGACTACCTCACACCACTACAGTGACCTGACTACCTCACACCACTACAGTGACCTGACTACCCCACACCACTACAGTGACCTGACTACCCCACACCACTACAGTGACCTGACTACCTCACACCACTACAGTGACCTGACTACCTCACACCACTACAGTTACCTGACTACCCCACACCACTACATTGACCTGACTACCCCACACCACTACAGTGACCCGACTACCTCACACCACTACAGTGACCTGACTACCTCACATTACTACAGTGACCTGATTACCTCACATCACTACAGTGACCTGACTACATCACACCACTACAGTGACCTGACTACCTCACACCACTACAGTGACCTGACTACCTCACATTACTTCAGTGACCTGACTACCTCACATTACTACAGTGACCTGACTACCTCACACCACTACAGTGACCTGACTACCTCACACCACTACAGTGACCTGACTACCTCACACCACTACAGTGACCTGACTACCTCACGCCACTACAGTGACCTGACTACCTCACACCACTACAGTGACCTGACTACCTCACACCACTACAGTGACCTGACTACCTCACACCACTACAGTGACCTGACTACCTCATGCCACTACAGTGACCTGACTACCTCACACCACTACAGTGACCTGACTACCTCACACCACTACAGTGACCTGACTACCTCACACCACTACAGTGACCTGACTACCTCACACCACTACAGTGACCTGACTACCTCACACCACTACAGTGACCTGACTACCTCACACCACTACAGTGACCTGACTACCTCACACCACTACAATGACCTGACCACCTTCACACCACTACAATGACCTGACCACCTTCACACCACTACAATGACCTGCCCACCTTCACACCACTACAATGACCTGCCCACCTTCACACCACTACAATGACCTGACCACCTTCACACCACTACAATGACCTGACCACCTTCACACCACTACAATGACCTGCCCACCTTCACACCATTACAATGACCTGACCACCTTCACACCACTACAATGACCTGCCCACCTTCACACCACTACAATGACATGCCCACCTTCACACCACTACAATGATCTGCCCACCTTCACACCACTACAATGACCTGCCCACCTTCACACCACTACAATTATCTGCCCACCTTCACACCACTACAATGACCTGACCACCTTCACACCACTACAATGACCTGCCCACCTTCACACCACTACAATGACCTGCCAACCTTCACACCACTACAATGATCTGCCCACCTTCACACCACTACAATGACCTGACCACCTTCACACCACTACAATGACCTGCCCACCTTCACACCACTACAATGACCTGCCACCTTCACACCACTACAATGACCTGCCCACCTTCACACCACTACAATGACCTGACCACCTTCACACCACTACAATGACCTGCCCACCTTCACACCACTACAATGACCTGCCCACCTTCACACCACTACAATGACCTGCCCACCTTCACACCACTACAATGACCTGACTACCTCACACCACTACAGTGACCTGACTACCTCACACCACTACAATGACCTGACTACCTCACACCACTACAGTGACCTGACTACCTCACACCACTACAGTGACCTGACTACCTCACACCACTACAATGACCTGGCTTCCTCACACCACTACAGTGACCTGACTACCTCACACCACTACAGTGACCTGACTACCTCACACCACTATAATGACCTGGCTTCCTCACACCACTACAGTGACCTGACTACCTCACACCACTACAATGACCTGACTACCTCACACCACTACAGTGACCTGACTACCTCACACCACTACAGTGACCTGACTACCTCACACCACTACAGTGGCCTGCCTACCTCACACCACTACAGTGACCTGACTACCTCACACCACTACAATGACCTGACTACCTCACACCACTACAGTGACCTGACTGCCTCACACCACTACAGTGACCTGACTACCTCACACCACTACAATGACCTGGCTTCCTCACACCACTACAGTGACCTGACTACCTCACACACCACTACAGTGACCTGACTACCTCACACCACTACAATGACCTGGCTTCCTCACACCACTACAGTGACCTGACTACCTCACACCACTACAATGACCTGACTACCTCACACCACTACAGTGACCTGACTACCTCACACCACTACAGTGACCTGACTACCTCACACCACTACAATGACCTGGCTTCCTCACACCACTACAGTGACCTGACTACCTCACACCACTACAATGACCTGACTACCTCACACCACTACAGTGACCTGACTACCTCACACCACTACAGTGACCTGACTACCTCACAACACTACAATGACCTGGCTTCCTCACACCACTACAGTGACCTGACTACCTCTCACCACTACAATTACCTGACTACCTCACACCACTACAATGACCTGACTACCTCACACCACTACAATGACCTGACTACCTCACACCACTACAATGACCTGACTACCTCACACCACTACAATGACCTGACTACCTCACATGTACCTGGTTATAAGAACACGTAGAGAAGAACATAAGAAAGAAGGAGCACTGCAGCAGGCCTACTGGCACATGCTAGGCAGGTCCAAGTCTGTTACTGATCCAAGCTAGTCAGGTCCAAGTCACGTACCTGATTATAAGGACACGTACCTGACAGACTCCAGAGGAGAAGTAGAAAGATCACTCTAGACATGATGAGTGTTACTCATTGAGTGAATGTACTCGATACTGACGCACTT